ACAGAAGCATTTCTGCGCTCTAGTTCTGAATAAATAATAACATTCTGCACAATCCTTATTACTCAAACTATATGAGAAGAGCATATTCGTCAAAATCAGTTCTTTAACTTTTTGCTACTATTGTAGGTACCAAACATCCTTAAATGTAAAAAAAAAAAAAAAAAACAGGCTTACAGAAGAAAATGCCCAGCAGGATCCACAGTGTCCTTGATCCTTAACTGCCGTGACGGCACCATGCTTCCTCCAATCGACCTCTCCCGGTAACTCGACGTTAGCCGGCGAGATAAACGTCGCTCCCACCGTCTCTATTTTAGCACTTATCGACTTGTTGAAGCCATTCAACGTATTGACGAATTCATGATGCAACTGGAGGAAAGAGAAATATGCGTCTCGTGAAAAATTGCTCGCTTCCCGGTACATAAACACAGATATAATCTGATTCTCTCTGAGGAAACTACCATATCCGCGTATTTGTTCATTCCCAGTTTGTAGGAGACCTCCTTCAGCTCGTACTTGCGATTGTGCTCGACGATCTTGCGCTTGTTGTCCAAGAAGATTTTCATCCTGTAATCCTCCTCGATCGAAGACTTGTAGACCTTTTTGTGGTGCGTCTTAAAATAATAACCAATATGTACAATTAATATTCATCTCATCATTTCGATTAATTTTATTTAAATATTTTAGACTCAAGAATTATTCTTGCGATCGCGCCTTCTTTGTTCTTTTTTTACTCTAACAAACAATGGATCGGATTATAGTTTGCTATCAAATATTTTAAGAAACTGATCCACAACAAAGAAAGGTAATTGGTAAACAAAGTATATCTATGTCAGTATCATTAATACTGTTTGTACACAGCTGGTATAACTGGATACGGAAGGCTAGATTTTCGTTATTATCTTATTTGACTTTTTAGATTAAACTTTATGGTGCAATAATATAAAACCTTACGCTGTGAGGTACTGTGTTCTTATATACCTTAAAGATAAACCATTCTGCGTCCAATATCTTGTTAAATGAAACAGCCTCTCCCGTGACGAGGACCGTCAATAGCAGCAAAGCCACCACGCTCTTCATGATTGCTCTCTAATTAGGCTACCTAGAAACACAAGAGTTATTTCAATAACATGATATAGGTTAGACTTTATGTCCTTTATATAAAACAAAAGTTAATTTTATATCGTATAGAATTGAAAGTACGAATTCTCATCTTTATTCGATCGCTTATTAAATTTATCGAGCAAACTCATGAATTTCATTATGACGCGATGTATCGAATAAGAACACAATCTAATGAACCAGCAATGAGTCGTGTAATAGCTTTAGACCGAAACGCTGTGCAAAGTTCAAGCTTCATGTAAAGGAAGGAAAAAAACGTTTACTGCGATTTGACGGAATTTATTGTTGTGAATGTTTCGAACATTGCAAAATTTTGAAAATTGCACAAAAATTTCGCAAGAAACGTCAGCGTGATCACTTGTCAATTTTTTTTTTGGCACCGCAATTTTATCACCAATTAGAAGAGCCTCTACAGCAGAACCACTTTATTTGACTGTTGAGAAACGAGCGTCCGCGTGAAAAAACGACGCACCCACTGTTAGGTAATATGCGTGTATGCGAAACACGTGAAAAATGCCTCGAGGTCAATCGAATGAAAATCTCGACGCCGTGCAGTGCGTCAACATTTATTTTTCCCCCTCCGACATCAAAGCCTCCGAAGTATAGGATAATCATATTCGGTTCGATTATCCTCAGTGCCGGTTTAAGAGGGGGGGACTAAGGGGGCTGTAGTCCCTTCCTTCCAGAGGGCCTCGTATAAGCTTAAAATTGTTAATTTCAATAATAAAAAATTAATATCGGATCCACAATAATTGATATTATCGTCATTTGGCATTATTAACTATATAGAAAGCAAACTGCTAAGAAATCTTGATTTTAATGATTTAATCAATGAATTCGCGTACAAATCAAGAAAAAAATTAAGTACCACTGTAATTTCAATAAAATGTGAATTATTTTTATTTTTCCAATATTCAGAGAACTGTCTTGTATCTTTTAAGCAGAAACGACAAAAGTCATGTACAAACAGTCACGTTTTTTTAAATAATAAATGCAAAATATATTGTATGTATTTAAATCATTGTTGTTATTTTAATAATAACGGGATCCCATTTTAATATTAGCCCCTGGGCCAAAAATATCTTGATCCGGCTCTGATTATCTTAGCCGTTCGTGGTCCTGGTGTGACTTGATGTGTGAATGACTCAGATGTTTCTTGTGACGGAAAACACAAATCTGCGGTCAAAATTGCTTAAAGCCGACCACACGTATAAACAAATTTCAATCGTACCCGTAAGGTCGTAAGTATGTCGACCAATCACAGTCGAACATTCTAAAACGTAGGACCGCAATTTTGGTCGTGATTGGTCAATTTGTTTACAACCTTATGACTAAAATTTTTGTCAGTACGTGTGATGGTCCTTTAAACGTCTACAATGGAGACGTAGTAATAAGACTTAAGATTTAAAAAAGTTGACCAATCACAAGCGACTGTTCCTCTGACGTGAGGTGAATAATCGACTATTGGTCAATTTTTTAAATTTTAAATCTTAAGTAATCTCAGTGTAGACGCCGCTTTAAGATGGACACGCCGATAATCGCTCCCTTCCCCCAACTTTTGGACTAATCTAACAATAAGTACTCTCTAGACAATGTCCACCGCGATGAGACATGCGGCGCGACGGACGCATAATCACGTGGAGATAACGGATCTCGAAATATCTACGTACCTCGCGTCGCGGCGCAATCGAACAATGAGCAACTCGCGGCTCGCTCATGATTATATACGAAACCGCAATTATACATACACGTCTGCACGAACTCGTACGTGATTCCGGAAGATTTTTTCTCATGGTCACAGATTTTTTTATCCTTTTTTCACGTCAATTTTCAAATTCTGTTGATTATTGTCTCTAACGTTTCAATCGTGACGTAAAAAGATTATTATTATTATTATTATTAGAACTTGAAAGTTCAGATCGATTATTAAAGTCGCGATACGAATTTAATTCATATATAATTTTAATTAAATTCAAATAAATTTGACTTTAAAAAGATTTCAGAGCTCCGATTATTTGAGATTTGCAAACTGCAAAACACAATTTCTCGAACAATTTTTTTAAAATTAATTTAATTAATTTAATTTAATTAATTTAATTTATTTATTTATTTCATATTAAAAATAGTTGCTCGTAAAATACGTCCCTAAATTGTGAAACTTGTATCTGTAGGCATTTTCACGTTATTTAAAAATTCAATCGTGACGTAAAAAATGATGATTATTATTAGAACTTGAAATTTCAGATCAATTATTAAAGTCGCGATACGAATTTAATTCATATATGATTTTAATTAAATTCAAACAAATTTTACTCTAAAGAGATTTCAGAGCTCCGAATATTTCAGATTTTCAAGCTGCAAAACACAATAAATCTCGAACAATTTCTTTTTGAATTAATTTAATTTATTTATTTCATATTAAAAATAGTTGCTCATAAAATACGCCCCTAAATTTTGAAACCCGTATCTGTAGGCATTTTCACGTTATTTAAAAATTCAATCGTGATGTAAAAAGATGATGATTATTATTAGAACTTGAAATTTCAGATCGATTATTAAAGTCGCGATACGAATTTAATTCATATATGATTTTAATTAAATTCAAATAAATTTTACTTTAAAGAGATTTTTAAATAGATTAATTTATTTCGTATTAAAAATAATTTCTCATAAAATACGCCCCTAAATTTTGAAACTCGTATCTGTAGGCATTTTCACATTTCTTTTGACATTTTTCAGGCTTTATCACATTCTTTTGTTGTCACATTCTTTTGTTGTCACATTCTTCTGTTGTCACATGAAATTCTTTTATATATTTGGACAGAATAATCATACATTTTTGTGCCGTCCAATTTATATAACGAGATTAAAAAAAAAAAAATTACAATTATACACAAAGTTGCGATAAGACGCTGATACGTCGAATCGCGAATTTGGTTATCTTCCTTTTCTCGAAATGACGAAATACATGTGATTATGAACTGCCTCTTTCAATCAAAACATTAAAAAAAAAAGAAAACAGAAAAATACTTGATCTTCTCTCATGCAATTGCGCATTAGATACGCATTCGCTGCCACTCGGCGTGATAAACAGATTTATTGAATCACGTGGTATGTACATGTATATGAATATAAAAAAATAATTGTACGTCATCGGAATGTGGTTTAGCTTGCAGCTTATTTCCAATTATTAATTATGATAATTACAAGGTACAATTCTACATGTAATTAACATGTTTTTTCTACACAAGTATTCATAAATGCCTTAGGGCCACTCCGATTAACTTTTAATCGATGCGATTAATTCAATAGTCCAGACACAATAAACTGATGTTATTCATCAATTTTAGGTCAAAATTTCGCTAAAAATGTCAAAAATTTTGTCGTTAAATATGCTTAGCTTGCTTTCTACAAGACGACCGAATTAATTGTTGATTAAAATTAATTGGAATTGATCTAGATATGCCCTTAAGCATGAAAAACCGGAGCATTTCGTTATATTTGGAGCACGGTATAATTTTATGTTTCCAGGTATTTGCTTCGATGCCTCGTGCATATTTAGAGCAATAAAAAACATTAAAATATGAATCGTGACGTAAAAAGATGATAATGATTATTATTAGGACTTGAAATTTCGGATCGACTATTAAAATCGCGATACAAATTTAATTAATATGTAATTTTAATTAAATTCAAATAAATTTTACTTTAAAGAGCTCCGATTATCTGAGAAAAACATGAATTATTTTTTCTATATGGAAATTACACACAGATTTCTATACTAAAAATAGAAATAGTATAGAGAGAAAAAAATAGTATAAAAAATAGTATAAAAATAGAAACAAATAAAAAAGAAAAAATATAAATAGTAAAAATAAAGTATAAATATGATAGTATAAAAATCTGTAAAATTATACGTTAAAACAAAAGAATAAATATGTAATACGCAATATGCAGATCATAGCTGATTGATAGCTGCGATATCGTGACGATTTTTGCGTTGTATGTACCACATTTCACATTTGTTTGTTTAACACGAATGTAGATAAGGAAAGTAAGAAGTGCTGATCTCAACTTCTCTCTCGCTTAAATTCTCTAATTGAGCCTTACTTATACACGGAAAGAATTTTTTTGTTAATTTACCCTGCAAACCATGTTAATTGTGGAACAATATAGTCTATTTAGGCAAATTTTACTGTGCACTACAATAACTTTTACTGTAAAATCTTATTGAAGTGCACCGTAAAATTTGCCGAAATACTATATTGTCCCACAATTAACGTGATTTGCAGGGAAAAAAAGAAATTCTCTCGTGCACGACGACGGTCACGATTAATCTAAATAAAAAAACATTAATAAACAAAGTAAAAAAGAGCCACGAGCCAAAGCTTGGGTGTTGTGTCGCTCTAATATATATATATTTATTAATTTAACAATTTTATTGCAATTATCAAATTAATAAATATACATATATATTGGAGCGATACAACACCCAAGCTTTGGCTCGTGGCCCTTTTTTACTTTGTTTATTAATGTTATTTTAATTTGGAGCCTTGACTTTGAATTTTATTTTAATTTTAACTAAATAAAAAAATCCAGGAACTTTTGGAAATCGTACCTACTTTGCTTCATCGAATCGGAAGGCACCAAGAAGAAGAAAACAGAAAAAGAATCTAAATAACGCTTTGATATGTACAATGCCCGACGCACAAATTGCTCCGTTTTTTTAAGATCTTATTCGGACACAGATTTCTCAACGCATGCAAAAGGAAAGTGGATCGGTTTTCTACGCGTGAGACGCGTGCAACGAGCATGACATATTATTAGACACACAATTCGATCTTCCACACGCTTCGATGTTTCTTCACGAAGGCACTGCAAATATGTATCTCTAAACGAGCGTTTGCATTATCGCATCCTGTATATATAAAGATAAAGATGGCACGAGAAGGATGTGGGGGAGGGCAAAGAAACAAAGGAAGCTGGAACTGGCATTCGTTTTTTAGTTAAATTGGACTCTTTCGCTAAAATACGCACGTCTGCTGTTTCACTTGAATTAATGATTCAGATAAAGATATAAGTTTATAATACGCGAAGCGGATAGATCGCGATCGAATGCGGAGGAACGTTGCTGTAGGTAAACGTCGACACAAACGGCGGAGCGTCGTGAACAATGGATTAACAATTAGCACGCGTGTTGACTTACGAGTTTTCTCTCTCTCTCTCTCTCTCTCCCTCTCTATTCTCTGTCGGAAGGCAAGGCCGGAGACTGCTGCAGGCCGCTGCCAGGCTACCAGGAGTACCAGGAACCAGGAACGCAAATGAATCGCGACTACTTCCGAGGAGCGCCGTCGCTCTTTTGTATATTCCTCTCCCCCCTCCCAATATCACTCTGCCGCCGCCGCGTAGACCACGTGATTCAGCGACAGTCGACAGATTCTGTGATCGACAGTCCTCCGCTGCTCCGCGTACTGCCAAGGGCGTCCGCAGGATTTTTTCTAGAGGGGGGCATGATCCAAATTTTTAATACGAACTACCGCGAGGAGCAAATGTCCAAACGTTGTGTACTTGTGTTGTATTTTAGCTCTCTCACATTTGACAAACATATTTATTATTTTAATTATTTGTAAAAATAAGAAAGCCAATTTTGAATTTTCTTATACTTGTT